TGTTTATTCATTGAAATTACTATTGTTTATTCATCTTCATTCATAAGCAATGTTTGTGTGATTTTTGCTACTCATAATGTCTAATTTTTGTGTTGTGGAATATGTGCATCATAGCTTGACTTTTTAAATCTGATTTTAAAAAATTTATTCTAATTAGTTATGCATGACAGTAGAATGCATTTTGACACAGTGTACACAAATGGAGCACAAGTTCTCATTCCTCTGGCTGTAGAGTCACATCAGTAGTGTAATCATACATGTATATAGGGTAATAATGTCTGTCTCATTCTGCTATCCTTCCCATCCCCACAGCCCCACAGCCCTACCCCTCTTCCCATTCTCGATATTCAGTGACACTCTTTAACCCTCAATGCCCCTTCCTTTTGTGCCACACATCAGGGTAATTGACCAAAAACCTGGGGCTTCCTCCTTTGGAGCTAGCCAGAGACTGAAACCACCCAATCCTCTGCCCATGGAAATGAGAGTGAATTTTCACCATAGATTGCCTGTTAACCCTTGTAAACCCTCGGCCTTGGGTCCTTTTCTTGCTTTCTCAAGATCTCTGATCACAGCTTGAGAGACCTGCTCTTCCCTCCCTGATCTTTATGTGAGTTATGATTTTTTTATGTGAGTTATGATCTCTGTGAGTTATGATTCTTTATGTGAGTTATGATTATGTGAGTGATGATTTTTGCATGTCTTCTTAGTTTTTTGTATGCTGTACACTTATCAGTATTCGACATCAGAAACAATCCTTTGAAGGTGATCAAAGCAGTTTGCACTATATGCAGGATTTTACATGTTGACCATTTTCTGGGTCTGTTTTTATTTGCCATGACTTGCTAACCTGTTCTCCTGCTGATGGCCAGCATGCATGGAGACCTCTGTTTACTGGATGTAAGGAGTTCTCATTTTGCAATCTATAGGAATCTGTTTATTGTCACCCAACCAGTGAATTGTGACTCAAATTGCTATGTTACAAGGAAGAAAAACAAAACAAATATTAGTATGTTCTTTCCAAAATTTTTTTTTTAAAGTTTTTCATCATGAAGTATATTCTCAAAAGAATAAATTGAAAGTTTAGTAAGAATAATAGCAATAATTTAAGTATCTTGGGAACCTCTGTCAAGTTCATAACTTGGGAACTGGGTATGATGGTACATGCCTGTAATCCCAGTGACTCGGGTGGCTAGACAAGAGGGAATCAAGTTTGACACCAGTCACAGCAATTTAGCAAGACCTGGTCTCAAGAAAAGGAGGGGGGTGACTGGGAATGTTCCTCAGTGGTAGAGTGCCCCTGGGTTTAATCCCCAGTACTGCTCCCCCCACAAAATATTCATAACTGTGGTGGTCTTTAGAATCTCAGGTAGTCGTCCCTGTCTTGTCCCACAGGTGACTACTGTCCGTGAACCTTTGGCTACTTTTCCTATCTTTACTCTGTGTGATTTTTCACTAAGTAGTTTCCCTTTAGTTTCTCTCCCTTGGAACCTTCAGTGAGTATTAAAGGAATTCCAAGCATTGGGGTGCTCTCCTTGCCCTCCCTTCCCTTGTCTCGCACACACTCATTCCTGAGGTGGGGGCAGACCCGTTGCCTCCTCAGGTCCCGTGGGTGGTCACTGTGTCAGCTTTTTCAAGGTTCCTCTTCAGTGATGTCATAAATAGCACAAAGGAACTCAAGCATGGCCAGGCGTGGGCAGGGCTGCTGCTGGCGCTTAGTAATGGTTTGGTGAGTGGTTTGGGCTGTGGTGGCCGACCTGGGCCTCTCCCACTGGCCATGGCTCAGGCAAACTCCATCGAGCAGGGCAGGACGAGGCCCTGACCCCGGCTTCCACCTGAGTGTGCATAATAGAGCCAACTTCTGAGCTCTTCATTTTTTAAAATTTCTGAACATGAATAAGATGCCTCGCTTTGCCAGTTCCCGGGTTGTGCAGGTCAAATATCTGAGAGTTAAGTATTTCTTCTTTATCAGCCACAGAAGAGGTATCCATGAAGACATAGATCCAATAATTATTTAACAGCAGATGCTGCTTACCGAATGATCCCTAGCCAGCATTCTTCTAAGGCTTCCTGCATATTAACTCATTTATTCGTCACCAGAATCCGATGGACTAGTTATGGTTATCCTCATCTCCACTTAACAGTTGAAAAAAGTGGAGCACAGAAAAGTAATTTGCCTGAATAGTGGAACAGGGCCTCAGACCCCCAGATTCCTGGCTCCAGGGCTCATGCCAAACTTGTCTTCTACTTCAGTGGAGAAGATGAGGTGTAATCAGTGTTCGGGTAGAAAGTCGTGGAGACATATGTAATATTCTTTGAGAATGTAGAGGAGGTGGTGCTATGAAAAAATCAAGGAGCTGTGGTTCACATTTTTTTTTTTAAATATGGAACACTTCACGAATTTGCATGTCATCCTTGTGCAGGGGCCATGCCAGTCTTCTCTGTATCTTTCCAATTTTAGTATACGTGCTGCCAAAGTGAGCACTGTGGTTCACATTTAAGCTCAACATCAGGGTGTGTTCAGTTTTAAAGTAATTACTTTTTTTTCAGTGTTAGATAAGAGGTGCTAGTGGATTGGGGATGGATTTTAGACTGGAAACCAGGAGGGCTCAAAAAATAAGAACAATCTTGTTGAAGTGGCAATGCACAATACATCCTCTAGACATTAGGGAAAAATCAGGGGCTCTGTACATTAAGGTGAAGTTCAAATTACAGGAAGTGGCAGTGGAATGTATCCACTAAGCTTTTTCATATGTAACTCTTTGCTTGTTATGGTCTTCAACACTTATATTTTATTTGGCAATTTCCTCTACTATGTCTGTGGATTTTTATAGTATTTTACCTTGAGATCTGTACATTTGGGTCATTTTTTT